CGCCGGTGACACTCCAAAACCGACTCCGAAACCGGATATACACGGCAAAAAGGTGATGCTCTGTTTGGTGGAACAGCAAAGGTTTGGTGTACTTTGAAGTACTGGATTCGGGTCAAACAGTTACGGCGGACATCTACAAAGATCAATTGAACCGCGTGGATCAAGCACTGCGTCGTCAAGGTGTCGAAACGACGTCGACAAAATTCCTCCACGACAACGCTCGTCCACATGTCGCGAAAATCACTTTGGAAAAAAATTGAGGAATTGGGCTGGGAAGTCCTGCCTCATCCGCCATACAGCCCAGACCTGGCACCATCCGATTACCATCTGTTCCGGTCGATGCAGCACTCCCTGGCCGAGAGAAAGTTCACAAACCGCGAAGAAGTCCAACTCTGGGTGTCCAACTACTTTGAGTCGCAGCCGGCCGAGTTCTTCGAAAGAGGAATCCATTCTTTGCATAAACGTTGGCAACAAGTCATTGATAGTAATGGAGATTATCTTTTGAATTGATCTTGTTTAATTTCGTTTTTATAATAAAAAATTTTTTAGACTCAAACGCGCATTTCTTTCCGAACAACCTAATATTTTCGTTTTGAAACAATCGTTGTCGTGTCTCAGACCCTTAAGAACAAGATGACAGTTGTCCCAGACTGGAATATTCCACGAGTAACCAGTTCCGTGCCATGTTCAAATGCCACGCCTACTCTGGCTCAGGGATAAGGAGTGTACGTCCGCTCTTTCACCGCTGGTATGTAAAAATCCTAATGCATCTCTATGTTTGTTGTAACTGTTACATGCTTGAGAATGACTCAAGGCCTGTCGAAGGCATTATATGCCGAGAGCAGTAAAAGTTTTAATCAAGTCAAGGGCCACGAACGCACCACGCAGGATAATAAATTAGCAAACAAAGAAGGGAAAGAGCAGAAAAGGCTTTGACAGCAAGCCGGAGATGGAGTCCCCTGTTCCGTGGAGCCCGACTTTTGTTCCATCTCACAAGGGAACTGAATGTTTGTCACACCATGAAACTTCGAATGGAGACTTAGGTAGTTTGATAAAGTCTGAAATGTTATTTATAAATATGAAAACCAGAGTTGCTATCCACATCTACCAAGCGAGTTATAGCGGGCTAATTCTCCTGGTATTTCGAAAACCTGACACCAGAGCATCTGGAGCGTGAGATACATAGATATGGTGCTTTTGCGCCAAACGGATGTGATTTTCAGGGATTGGAGAGTTAATGCCTCTAGACACGAATTCTAGCTATATCGAAACTTCTATCCACGCTATGAAAAATTTGGATAAATCGAATTATACAGATTTTGCGTTGATCATTAACTTTTGGGATGCGGCAAGCACACTTCCATTAGAAATCGTAGTGGCGAATGCGATAGGGCCTATTCAACGAATTGCGGGAGAAAGCCGTTTTACAAGTCAGCGCTTTTATTTTCTCAAACAATTCTTGTACCACTGGACGATAGAAGGCTTGGTTGATCTTGGCTGGAGGATGATCTGACCTCGGGAACACTTGCCACTGCACCACGTCCGCTTAGGTAAGCATCATAATAAGAGAAATCAAAAAGCGTGCTTTTCATTCCCACTGCGGCAGTCGTGAAGACGTCTGTAGGGTGCTTATGAAGTGATCAGAAGTAATACTGTTATCAAGGACCGCAACTGATGGTGGCTGTCCCCTCACAAAAGATATATTACGTTGAGATTATTCGCAGAGGTGGGGTACGGGAACCAGCTCAATAAGAACTTACGATGCAAATCTCGTCGAGAACTCTCGAAAGTATGCACAAACTCTTCCTATAACTTCTCTTGTCTGATCGCATAGATGACGAGGACGTGAAGGCTGAAAGTTCATGAAAAAAGATCACTACTGGACTACTTTGAATACAAACGTGTGTGTAGTGTAGTAAAGTTAGCGCAATGAAATGATGGATACCGTTTTTGTACCGGGTCGTCGCCGAAAATTCACGTCAAGCATATTCGGAAATTTGACGACGGGGAAATACGGACGCGGTCGAGGTCTGTCTTCTCTCGACACCTAAATGACATGTAATACGAATGATAGAAAAGGGAGTTCGGGGAAAACTCTACACGACATACGCTATCGTCTGCAATATTTGCTGGAGAAGAAGGAGGAAATAAGGGTGTTTTAGATGAAACAGCTGTCGATACTGAAAGTGTACAACGGCATAGATGTTATACAGAACAGACTCCTGAGCACAATGTTAGATTAAGGCCACTTGAAGGATGTTATGTCAAGAAAATAGTTTTTTCTCTTTTGAGGGGATCTTGTAATTAAGTTAATCATAAAGAAAAACAAAAACCGGATTTCAACCAACATTCGAAGTTCTTCACGCTATTCCTCACCAGCACATCAATTGTATGCGAGCGTTTCCTGAAGAATAATTAATCTCACAAGCTCTTGGCGATTTTCATTGTGCCAGAACATCTTGAACGTTGTCACCTACTCCTCATCTATCTGCTCAACAGCAAAAGTCCAACAATAGTATGCAGAAGGAGAATCCGCTCTTCTCATGTCGCTCATCCCCTTTACATTTCACAAAAAATATTCTCTCAATTCTTCTAGAAGTTTTCGATGGGAACAAAGGGCAGTAATGAAATTGGTCAAATAAATCTCTTCTAATAACACTGTTTCCTCTAATGTATTTTCTTTGGAGGATGATATTGAAAGGAATAGCCCTGTTGTATCAGTAGGACTGCCTGAGTTAAGCTCCTCGTCATCAACTGGTAAGTCTAATTATGACTTCCAGTCTGTGAATTTCGTTTTCAATCATGTTGACGCAGAATGCGCACCTACAGCGTGAATAGGATGGGAGGGCAATCAGGCATCCCCGTCTAATTAGAAGAGTTCCTCTTACTTCCACGTCCCAACAGATAGCTATGGAACCAGAGTACAGCATCGTGATGCACAGATACTGCTGGTGAAATGGTGGTGTCTTTGCGACCCCCCCCCCTCCCTCTCTCGAGGCCTAATGAAGGTCTCGGTACGTCGGTACGACCACCCCCCTTCCTCAATACCTATGTACCACCGTCCTCGATTTCCTACAAGATGAGCACAGGATGAGGGTAAAGCACGTGTGAAACGGGAGAAACCGCATAAATTCCTTAGATTTTCCCAACTGTCCACCACTTTTTCCTGAATTTCCCTGCTTTTCCCCAAAAATTTGCTGTCGAGGCGGGGGGGGGGAGATATAGTACACATGAAACAGGAACAAAGTCAACAACCGGGGAAAATTTTTTCCCAACGCGGCAAATTTCTCATGTAGGCACAATATACGCCCTCCCCGTGTCCAACAACGACCAAATACGACCACCTCTTCCCGACAGAACGGCCAAGTACCCTCTCCCCTATGTGTTTCACACAACGATGCTGTACCCTGTGTGGAACTTCACCACGACTGCACTCTTTCTCTACTAGGGCGTGTTTCTGGCCCATCATGATTGAAAGAAGAGGGAGCGTAAATCCATGAGGCATGCTGTGGAAGGCTACTAGATCGAAGAATGCACTTTCGCGCAGCTTTTGTCCGTAAGGAAAACTTTGACATGGTCATACGGGACAGGGCTGGATTCTGAAATCGATACTACTCCAATGCTTGGGATGGGAGTTTCGCAGTATGAGATTTATAGAAGTGCCAAGTTGTGTAAAAGGGCTAACAGTCATGTTTGGGTACCCACTCTGGCAATACTGTTGCAGTGATATTGGGCAGTATATAGAGCACACTCTTGTTAATGAAAGCGACCAACTTACCAAGGCTATCAATGAGTTATGTTCTTGTGAGAGAGGATATATACTGGCAGGAGATTCAACTGCATGGTTCTCATGCATTGTATAGCGACCCAAGCAACTCGTAACTTTTAAATTTGTTCATCTCTCATAGCTTTGTTCAAACGGTATCCCTCTCTACGAGATGCCTGTCAGTCCCAGATTCGCTCTCGTGTTATTAGTCCTCACCTTCTCGGTGGTTTAGCTGTAGTCCACCATCTCATACTAATGATCACACAGTTCTTATATATGGGAGTTAGAAGCTCTTCTTTTCTTCCAGAAATTTATTGACGTTTCGAGCCAAATAGTTGAACTTCCCATGGAACTTTGAATGGAGACCTAGGTACATCGATAGAGCCTCGAATGCTGATTACGAATATGCAGATTAAAAGTGCTACGGGGACCTCCCAGACGAGATCTGGGCGGTCAAAGTTTGCGAAAACTCGGTTTTGGCTAAGCGCTGCTGATCGATCGTTGGGCAGTGCCACCGTGGCCTAGTGGTAACGGTCTCGCTTCAAAGCCAAATGCTCGTGGGTTTGCATCCCGTTGGCGGGAAAGTTTTGCTTCGTCTCATATAAGAGCATTCACTCTAATGTTCGAGTTTATGCTCCAGATTTGGTCACTATTACCCTCTCTGAACTTATTACCCATCCGACAATTCAAAGCTTTGGCGAGAAACTTTCCTGGGGGTATTTTGACCCCTGAACGACGAATATCACATCCGTTTGACGAGAAAACGCTTGTAACTTTCACGTTCGTGGTCGCTGTGGTCATCAACTGATCTGGCCAAATTGTGATTCTGACCAGAATTTCAAGTGTCGGATGGGTAATGAGTTCAAAGAGGGCCGATCAAATCCACACTCGATCGGGTACATCATATAGTTGACCCGCTTGATCTACTTGCTCTTTGCTTGGCCGTAAACTGCTTGCTGGCGTAAACTCGGAAGAATCTCGAACAAAGTGAAAGCTCTTATAGGAGACGGAGCAAAACTTCTTTCCCCAAAGGGATGCAAACCCAAGACCATTTCGCTTTGAAGCGAGACCGTTACCACTAGGTCCACGGTGGCACTGCCCAACGATCGATCAGCAGCGCTTACGAGCCAAAACTGAGTTTTCGCAAACTTTGACCGCCCAGATCTCGTCTGGGAGGTCCCCGTAGCACTTTCTGCATATTCGTAATCAGCATTCGAGGCTCTATCGATGTACCTAGGTCTCCATTCAAAGTTCCATGGGAAGTTGCAAACCATTCCCTTGTTAGCTGATATAAAGTAAATCATTAATCCAGACACTTAGGCGCTCGAGTTTGCGAAAGGGGGAAACATCGGGGTAAAGCAGACAGCGAAACCAACGTACTTCGCTAGCTGTCGCAAGGGCAAGAACTGAGTGCTACCGCGTGCACTCGCAGTTCCTACGCGCTCAGTTTTACGCGCAGTTCAAGGTATTATATCCTGAGAGTTTTTCTGAACTTGTAACTTACTGCCGATTTGCCAGCAAGTTCGGAGAACTCATACAGTGGAACTGCGTATCTGCCAGGATGGGTCTTCGATAAGAATGTCGCGAAGTTTGTTTTTGCGTTTTTCTTGATTGAGGAGTTAGCTGTTGGGTACTGCTTCATATCTGAACATCCGCTACCCGTGATATCTGAGTGCGGAAACTGCACAAACTCACACCTATAGCACAAGGCACCGTGGGCACTGCCCAGCTCTTTCCACTGTGTCACGCCAAATCCCTGATCTATGCACCCTGCTGGGGGCTAGATAGAGGAAATATGAGAAACTAGTTATCGAAAATATGAGCAATCTTCGCCGGGGAGCAAACTCACATCCCAACACCTGGAAAGCGAGAGGCCTGCACAAAGCAGGTGACACAGGCAACGGGCTGGTCAACAATATGATACCACAGCAATTAAGGGAAACTGTTCGTTCATAACTCCTTTACAAGATGCAGTTAGAGTAATGCTTTCCATATTTGCAAACAGTGTTCTGAGATCTATCGATTTAGTTAGGCCTCCGGCAAAACTCCACAGGGTGTCAAAAGTTTCTGTTGATTCCCTATATAGTTTTTTATGAACTCACTTTGGACACCGTGCATACTTCATTAAGCTCATTCCAAGCCGACGTGGAGCTTTGAAAACAACAACATCTTCCAGCTTAGTGACAGTCGGCGACGTCATCGCAGACGCTAAGAGAACATAGGATCGCTCTTGAGCTGGACGAAACTCCCACTAAGAGTAATATTTCAAAGAAATAAGAAAAAGGGAAACAAGCGAGAAAACCTTGAAATGGGTTTCAAGAAACCGCTAATTGAAAGTGGTCTCTTGAAATCCATTTCAAAGTTGTTTTCAATGCTTTCATTCTAAAAAATTTTCTGCACATCAAGTGTACATGTTACGTCCATGGCAACTGGAGCAAGCCATTTTGACCAGATATTGCCCAAGATTGATTCTTTTGAGGAAACACTCACAACGAAAAGGTGGCAGGCACGATGACGACACCTGAGAAGTTGTAGGACTATGAAGAACGGTATCCTGATTTTCTGCTTCCTGAAAAACGGTCTTCTGTTATTATACTTGATAAGTGCACTGCTGTATCTACCTATCTACCTGAACAGGTCCTGTAGAAGGAGTCAGTACAGGGGGACAACAATCTCTTTGCTCGGATGGATCCACCTGTATAACATTAATGCCGCAGAGAACCCTAGCGATGACAATGGTAAAAACATACACAGGAACTGAGAGGTTTCAATGAATTGGCACTTTCATGTGAAGGATGCGATGGAGCAACAGGTAGCTGGAAACTTAGAGGATTCAAACTGCGATTACCGTTTGTAAAAGCGACATCCTGCGTTCGTAGAGCTGCATCTGTCGCAGTTATCTAAAACAGAATTGCTGTGAATATTGAGTGTGGCACAAGTGCTGCACATACTTCAATGAAGTTGCAAAGTATCCAATGCACAGGGTCTTTCTATATCAGGCAAGACAGTTCTGAATTTCGGAGCCACATTCCACGGTAGCTTGTCAAAAAAATAGCGCTTAGGTTTGGAAATAGAGGTGCTAAGTGGCCTCTGAGCTGAAGAAACCGCAAACATCCCAGGAAGAAAGCTCCAATACCACTGCTGATATGAGAGGATTTGCGAGAACAATGCGAAGACACTAAGGGCTCCCTCTTATTATTATTACTATCATTATCGTATCATCAAATCCAACGACATTATTTCTTTTTCCGTGCATATTACCCTCACCATAAGGATCTTTTCTCTCGTCACCATTGTGGCTCACGTGCACTACTCCAGGCATCACACGATAGAGCCCATGAAGCTATAACCTGCAATACAGCTGGCCCCTGACAGCTGGCCAAATTTCCGTGTACCTATCTCGTAACTCCCATTTTCCCCCTTATAAATGATCAATGGTTCATCAAAGGTTAAGTATTGGGGTTTTTTTTGCCCGTGAGGTGCTAACTGTAATCGAAATCAACACAATACTCAGACATCAGTCTAGTGGTCGAAACGAGCTCGCGCTAGAAATGTCAGATGGGAACATTCGACCAAAACCACAATGCTAGAGGTGCTGGTTGATATGATTCATGTGGGCCTTGGGGGCCATGTCTTAATGTTTTCACCCATTATTCAGGAAGACGTGTATGACTGAATATCACTTTCGACTTCAAGACATGGGAGAGCATGGTAGGATGACGGCTATTATATTATCATTACATGAGCCACGAGGTGCTAATTGACACATAGACCAAGTGGGTGTCGTTAAATTCCGCGCACAATGCACACCGAAGCTGAATCACACAGGTACCAATACAAATTCGGTCGAAAGCTACGTATTAGAGACGAGGTTCGAGGCTACATGCTAGACCATCAAGCCTTCCAAGTTTTCCTCTCTCTCATGCAATTTCAGCATTGTTTTACGTGTCAAAATTAAACGACTTTGTCCTAAGTAGGCGTGAGCACGTCGTGCCAATTCTTGCAAGGAACGACGCATATTTTCAGCTGATTGTGAGCCACGTGTGATTTCGTTGGGATTCTACAGTATGATCCGTATCGAAAAGTTGGAGAAGTAACCGGCGTCAGCTAGGAAATGCGTACATAGAGACTGATCAGATTACATCTCATTATAGAAATGATTTCGATCGAGTACTTCCGCTCGATCTCTCACCGCGTGGACATTACGTCACCTACAATGATGCTCAAGTATCCTAATCACCTAACTGTGTCTGTTGGTGTGTGTGTGTGTGTGTGTGTGTGTGTGTGTGTGTGTGTGTGTGTGTGTGTGTGTGTGTGTGTGTGTGTGTGTGTGTGTGTGTGTGTGTGTGTGTGTGTGTGTGTGTGTGTGTGTGTGTCACGAAATTCCTTCCTTCAAAAGAGCGATGAAGCGCTTAAACGGATAAGTAGGAGGCGGATGGGAACATTATTGGTGGGTGAGAGGCCGAGATAACAGTTGATAAGATACCACAAGGGGCCTTGGAAGGAAAGAACACCAACTCCATAGCACGGGCCATAGCAACGATGGGACGTTGGTTCCAAAAGGCAAGATAGGGTGCAGGATGGGAACATTATTGGTGGGTGACAGGCCGTGATAACAGCTGATAAGATACCACAAGGGGCCTTGGAAGGGAAAGGCACCAACTCCATAGCGCGGGCCATAGCAACGATGGGACGTTGGTTCCAAGATAGGGTGAAGGACTGGAACATTATTGTTGGGTGACAGGCCGTGATAACAGTTGATAACATAAGGGCTGATAAGATACCACAAGGGACCTTGGAAGGAAAAGATCAACTCCATAGCGCGGGCCATAGCAACGATGGGACGTTGGTTCTAACAAGGGAATGGTTTGAACTTCCCATGGAACTTTGAATGGAGACCTAGGTACATCGATAGAGCCTCGAATGCTGATTACGAATATGCAGATTAAAAGTGCTACGGGGACCTCCCAGACGAGATCTGGGTGGTCAAAGTTTGAGTTCTGGCTCGTAAGCGCTGCTGATCGATGCTTCGGCAGTGCCACCGTGGCCTCGTGGTAATGGTCTCGCTTTCAAGTTGCATGCGGTTTGCATCCGGTTGGCGCGAAAATTTTTGCTTCGCTCCGTATAAGAGCTTCAACTCTAATTTTCGAAATTCTTCCGAATTTACGGCCCAGCAGGGCAAGTAGATCAAGTACATCAAGTATACGACGTACTCGATCTAGTATGGATTTGGTCATATCTGCCCTCTCTGAACATATTACCCATCCGACAATTCAAAGTTTTGCCCAGAATCGCAATTTGGCCAGACGAGCGTTTTTTCGTCGAAGGATGTGATATTCGTGTTCAGGGGGTCGAAATCTCCCATGAACGAATTTCTCGCTAAAACTTTGAATTGTCGGATGGGTAATATGTTCAGAGAGGGCAGATATGACCAAATCCATACTAGATCGAGTACGTCGTATACTTGATGTACTTGCCCTGCTGGGCCGTAAATTCGGAAGAATTTCGAAAATTAGAGTTGAAGCTCTTATACGGAGCGAAGCAAAAATTTTCGCGCCAACCGGATGCAAACCCGCATGCGTTTGACTTGAAAGCGAGACCATTACCACGAGGCCACGGTGGCACTGCCGAGGCATCGATCAGCAGCGCTTACGAGCCAGAACTCAAACTTTGACCACCCAGATCTCGTCTGGGAGGTCCCCGTAGCACTTTTAATCTGCATATTCGTAATCAGCATTCGAGGCTCTATCGATGTACCTAGGTCTCCATTCAAAGTTCCATGGGAAGTTCAAACCATTCCCTTGTAAGAAGTGAGACAGGGTGAGGGATGGGAACATTATTGGTGGGTGACAGGCCGTGATAACAGTTGATAAGATACCACAAGGGGCCTTAGAAGGAAAAGGTCACCAACTCCATAGCGCGGGCATAGCAACGATGGGACGTTGGTTCCAAAAGGTAAGATAGGGTGCAGGATGGGAACATTGTTGGTGGGTGACAGGCCGTGATAACAGCTGATAAGATATCACGGGGCCTCAGAAAGGGAGTGTCGCCAATTTTGTAGCGCGGGCCACAGCAGCGATGGGACGTTGGTTCTACGAAGTTAGATAGGGGTCAGGATGGGACCATTATTGGTGGGTGGTAGGACGTGATAACAGTTGATAAGATACCACAAGGGAGCTCAGAACGAAAAGGTTACCAATTTCATAGCACGGGTTCGTTGGTTCTAAGAAGTTAGATAGGGGTCAGGATGGGACCATCATTGGTGGGTGGCAGGACGGTAGAGGATGCCCCCGAAGTTCATGGCACGAGTTGTAGCAACACTGGGGAACTGCTTCCAGCAAGTCATTCAGAAGAGGTTACAGAGCATTGGTGGAGGGATATAAGTTGTATATAGTGTGAGAAGAGAGCTTATAAGCATCAGTACCTGTTCGCATCCTTACTGTTCAGCCTGAACTTGAGCCGCGGTGCCCAAGAAACAATGGGCAGGGGTGTTGTGAGTCAAGTTATTTCATCTCTTAGCGATATGGTTGGGACTGATTCGACCGCTGAACTCTCGAGTTTCGACAAAAATCAAAAGCCCTGGAAGCTGCTTAACGAAAGTACTGCGATGTGAGGATATTTCACTATGATGTCCATGTTATTACCATCGAAACTCTTTCAACCGCTAAGCTGTCCTATTTCCAACGAATGGTGAATGTTTTTTAGAAATGTGATAAGCACCAGACATTAGAAAATGTTCATTAAACAGAAATATAATGAAATGGGTCGTATCTCAAAAATGACAATTGGGCCAAGTGTTTGGGGTCAGTACAGAAATCCTGTCAGCGATCAGTACCATTACCATAGATTCAACCATGCGCGCAGTAGTGCGCGTCAGCCAAGCTGGTTGTGTAAATAGCGCTTCATGTTAACATCTCAAGGGTGGTGAACTTGAACTCATCGGAATGTCAAGTATTCTTCATATACTGAGCAGCGGTGAAAGGAGCACAACCTATCCCTGATTGAGAGTCACATGAAATGGAAAGTGAAAAGTGCGAGAAGATCCTGTTTCCGCAATCGATTCTGCAACCGAGAAATGTCAAGTATCCTTCATATGCTGCGCAGCGATGACATGAGCACAACCTACCCCTGATGGCGAGCCACAAGAATAGGAAAATGAAAAGTGCAAGAAGATCCTGCAACAATCGATTCTCCGACCTCTTTAACCACTCAATCATGCTACAGAGTGCAAGTACCACTGACTTGCTTGACGTGCTGATATACTGTGGACTGTGGTCAAGAGGGTGGCAAGAAAAACTTTCTGTAGCTCTCTTCTGAACAGCTTATAGGTTTTGTTGAGTAAGTTTGAGACAATTTCATCGGTGCGCATTTCATTGGGTAGCCGGACTGGGCTGTTAACGAGCCATTAAAATGGTCGCTTCCAAATAGAACATAAGTATCCGATCCCGTAATAAACTCTCCCACACAGCTTGCTAGAAAGTTGACCTCTGAAGTCCTCTTAGGAGCACAGTGACATCCTCACCTGAGCGCAGTTCTCGTACATTTCGAAATGCAGTGAGAAGCAGAAGGCTTTTTACGTTACAGACCGGTCCACACAAAATAGTTCAACACATTGTAGTAAGAAGAGGTAGATGGCATCATGTGAGGTTAGTAAACTGGCATCGATGATTTGAGTATATGTGCTGTCATCCAATTCAGTTTCAGTTTCCGAAAGACGAAGTGTTTTTCTGTTGTTGTACCATTCCGATCCATCGTTGACATTGACAAGTGGATTCGGGCCCATACTATTCGTTAGCAAGTCTTGTTCTAGCCAGAGCAACTGCGCAAAAATTTGGAGCTAAGTGCTATCTCAACCGTGCAGACCTTCTCAATAATCCACGCGATATTTGGAAAACGCTGACTGCTGAAAGGGATGTCCTGTATCTTTCTCTCAAAACTTATAGTTTTGCAGGCTTTTCCCGAAGAGAAACGTTGAATAGGCGATTAAATAGAGTAGTAGGATTCATAATCAGACAGAACGTAATGTCTGTAAAATGAGCGTGGGCTTCGATAAAAATGATAATTTATTTTAGAGGCAGAAGTGGCATACTGGTAGCAAAAAAAACGAGCAATGCAAGAGAACCTAAGGATTCATGTAATTAAAACAAACCTTGACTGATTCAGCGAGAGGAGGACAATGCGGGGTTGCTTGCGCAACGTAGCTCGACCGCTGGTTAACAAAAGGATGCTCCAAGGGATGGTCGATAGGCGTTGTAGACGCACGTAGAGGATGCTGCGTAGGGATTTCTTGGCGCAGAGGGAATGACATTAAGTCACGGGTACCTTCGAATGCGCTGCAACGAAAAAGTTGAGGATTCACGTGTGCATATTTTCTGAGAAATGACAAGTTCTGTATAAATGCCCGCTACGCCGAATGAACGTGCAGAGTAATATTTTTGTTAACTCTGGTTAGAAACCTTAGTTATTGTGAGGAAATGCGAGCAGTAAAAGCAGAGTGTGTATAGGAGTACGCTAACCGAAGCTTAGCCGGCGAAGAAATACACACTGCACATTTAGAAGGAGATAACGAAAACACACCTCATCGAACCGGGTGGACCGATGTAGTTCATATGGCATCCATATTCTTCCTGTGGTCGTTGCCCTATAAGAAAAAGCTCAAATGCGATTTATGTAGAGAATACATTGAGGTGCTCCATAACCTCCATACTCATTGCTACAGAGGTTCTCAATAGAAAATCCATTCTTTCCAAACTTGTCATTGTGTACCTACGAAGGGAGCGATTTTGGCTAGCCATTCAGCTTAATTTGCTGCAGCATTTCACAAATAATATTTCATCAAGTCAAAATATTCTTCGAGCTCTTTAGCCCTTGCTTTGTTATTAAGAGCTCCGTATATGATCGCCTGAACACCGGATTTCTCGAAAGGTAATAAGGGCTTAGGAGGAGTCACCATCTCTCAATCGATTTTACACCGCCGATACATTGTAATCCGAAGCTCTTTTTATTTGAAGGTGATCCACAAACTGACTGCCCCATGATGCTTATATCCGCTTTTCTATGCGAACCGCTTTTCTATGCGAAAACTGGTTATTGTTTGGGAGAGATTTTTGCGGAAAGAGACGGCAATATTAGTGTTCTGATTTTGTACGCCTTGGACTAACACCTGCTCCAAACATGATCTGACATAGCCGTGTTTTGACGTTTGATATCACCTGGGATTGACTCTACGATATAGTCACCGACGCTGAGAAGTAGGTACTTAAATACCCAATAATTATTATAGGTAGAATTATAAAGGCTTCTCCACCATAAAATTTGTCCTAAAGATGAGCCTTTTTGCCGTGAATCCGAACGGTTAAGTAGAGAAGTTGTTTCAGTAAAGGAGATTATGCTTTCCTGGGGGTGTAGGTTGGGACTCCACGAGAGGTCACGGTTGCCATGTTTCGCCTCGCTGCAAGCGGCGATTGCTGCCGCGCTTGGACGAGACCCGTACAACCGTGCGAATAGGATCCCCTTCACATAGTTCTGGCATCAAGCCAACCATTTTGGCATTCTGCCAAATCGCCAGAATAACCAATAGGACGCCAACATTTCCTGATTGCAGCTGTATTCCTTTAATGGATTGCTGTATTTCTTTAATACTACTTACTTTACCCGTTTGGCCATTCCTATTTGTTGGATAGGCCGACACCGTGCCTGTGGAAAAGTGAAACAGTTTTTCCGCCTAAATGTTGATATCATATCGGGGGTATATAAACCCCACTGTGTGGTTGAGTTCATTCGTCTAATAAATATTCTTCTACTGCCGATTCTGCCTACTACATCCGGATTCAACAACTGGCGATCAGTATCAAGGACTCATGGACAACTGGCAGCCATATTCTCGCTCTAATGGAACGCCGGATGGAACGTCAGGACAAGACCATCGAGCTCATGCAGCAACAGCACAAAGAGACCGCCGATTCTTTCCTGCGCATGATGGAGAAGATGGAACAGCGATTGGTCGAGGCGTGCCCAGCAACTGCAAAACACAGCATCTTCGACTCCATGTGCCGACGAATCGACAAGTTCAATTTCGATGCGGAGAATGGTAAGACCTTTGACGTATGGTTCAAGCGATTTAAAGATGTGTTTGACAACGACTGTACTGAGCTAAGCGAGCAAGAGAGGACCCGTCTCCTAGTCAGCCGACTGGATGAAGACTGCCACCAGCTGTTCTGTGGCTCCATTGCACCTAAGTCGCCGTCGGACCTGTCATGGGAAGAAGCGGTTTCGGCCATGGATCGTCTATTCGGATCTGCCAACGCAGGTGTTTCGTCGCACGATTCGCACGTGCCTTAAGAATACGAGTCGATCAACAAGCTTGCAACACACTACGAAACATGAGTGCGGACGCGTGTTCTGATGCCAAATTTCGACGCGCATCGATTTCGACGCGGTCTACAATGCCTGTTTTATGTGGCCGGATTTCAAGGAGCAGAATTTGCCGACTACAGAACGCGCCTTCTAAGAAAGTTGGATCAAGGTGACAACATCTCGATCAAGGACCTTACCGGTGAGTGCCAGCTGATTAAATCTTATAAAGAAGACGCCAAAATGCTGGAAAATGCCTCCGGTGCTGGCACTAGAGTCAATTACGTAACCAGAAGGAGGAAAAGAAGAAATTTCAAGCCGAAGCAGATGCGGAAGAATAAGGACGACACTACTGCGTTTCCTCACCCACCACGATCTGGAAATCAGGAATCAAGGTCGCCGTCACGTTCTCAGACCAGACGTCGCGGTGCAAGGAGCTACCAGATCAGGAGCATTGAGGCCGCTCTACGCAAGAACGCTCAGCCACACCTACAAGTCGAAGTGAATGGACGTTCTCTGAACCTTCTACTCGATACTGGCGCCATGATCACTCTGATCTCAAGGTCGAGCTGGAGGAAAATCGGAAGGCCACACCTAGAGAAATACAACGCAATCGTAAACGCCGCCAATGGTACGAGGATCCCAAACAAGTGGACGCGTCATGGTGGATTTTGCGTTGAAGAGTTCCGATGGAAGGCAGCATCACGAACAAGGATTCTGCTACGTCACCGAAGATCTCGACTTATTCGGTTGGGAGTGGATCCAGAAGATCCCAGATTTGGTGAAACCACTGCAGAAGTACATCAATGGTGTGACTATCCTTGCTGATCCTGCCGCCGCCTGCCGAGACGAGATCGTTCGCCAAATTGAAAGACCGACTACGCCGATGTATTCAAAGATGGACTCGGACGATGTACGAAGACCAAGGCGACGCTCCAGTTGAAGCCCAATGCTCATCCAGTTTTTAAGAAGAAACGCCCCGTGCCGTACGCCTACATTACGGCTTTGGACGCAGAGATCGATCGCCTGCTCGAAGAAGGAGTGCTCTCTGCCGTCGACTATTCTGCCTGGGCAGCACCTATTGTCGTCGTGAAGAAAACAAATGGAACGCTACGACTCTGTGCTGATTTTTCAACCGGATTAAACGATGCCCTAATGCTACACCAGCATCCACTGCCCACTGCAGACGACGTATTCACCAAATTAAATGGCGGCACGACTTTCACGCAGATAGACTTCGCGGACGCTTATCTCAAATCGAAGTCGACGACGAGGCGAAGGAGATTTTGACAATTAATACGCACAGAGAGGACTTTTCCGTTACAACCGCCTCCCGTTTGGTATCAAATCTGCGCCCGGCATCTTCCAGCAAGTCGATTGATTCACTTATGATTTTGCGGACTTCAAGGTCTGGCCGCTGATACCTCGACGACGTTTATCTCACCCGGTCGCGCACTATCGAGGGCACGTCGGCCAACTTGCGAAGGCCTTTCTTCGAAAGGATAGTGCCGATTTTGTGGCTTCCCGCGTCCGAATCGAGGAAATGTAACTTCCTGAATTGCTCACAAACTCCAGATACCTGGTGAAACGTTATTCTGATTCAACCGGACGCGACTCTCGCTCCGGTCCAAGATTCGAGGCTATCCCGCCAGATGTCCACATGCCCTACGGTAACATTGCCCAGGTCTGGAATTCGATTCTTTGGATATGCCTCAATTACTACGGGCCACTTTGCGTCAGCCAGGTGATGCGACAACTTCGTGCACCGTTGGATGCTCTTCTGAAGAAGGATGCGTCGTTCAAATGGTCTGCCGAGTGCCAAGATGCCTTCCAACGCGCCAAGGATGTGCTAGCCTCGGACCTACTGCTCACCCACTACGATCCCACAAAGGAGATCGTCATCGCGGCCGACGCATCGGAGTAACGGGGATAGGCAGGCAGTGATCAGTCACGTTCTCGTGGATGTGCGAATAAGAGAGAACACCGCCTTTCGCCGTTCCCTGACCGAGCTGCGAGAAGAACTACGGTCAAGTCGAGAAGGAAGCTCTCGCCATAACGTTCGCTTTGCGGAAAATCCACCGCTACATACTCGGACGTCATTTCAAGCTGTTACCGAACATAAGGCCTCTTCCTAGCCATCTTCTGGAGCCAAGAAAGGAGTGCCTGTCTACACGGCGAATCGACTGCAACGCTGGGCCCTCATAGTGAAGAGCTACGACTTCAGTATTGAGTACAGAAGCAGCACCAGTTTCGGACAAGCAGACGTCTTATCGCGCCTCATCGCTGAGCAATCTACAACCCAAGAAGACCAAGTCATTGCAGCGATTCGATGTATGGATGCGAACGACTATTTCGCCAATCGCACGACGATAAACTGCAGTCGAACGCTGAAACGTAGCAGAAAGAACTCAAAGAAGGAATCCGATTCTTGAAGAATATTTTCGAGTGGATCAGAGATGGAAAGTGGCCAAGGAAGTCGGATGTCGCAACCCGATTCAACTCCCTAAGAAGATCCCTTTCGACACAAAATGGATGTCTACTTACTTTTTTTTGGAGATATTTTCGCCTCGTTCATTCCCCTCCAACCTTACGAAATGCGTATCTATGCGAACTTCACATGTGTGCACCTATGTGAATGACACGATTGAAGAGCTCGCCAGGAATAATTTTTGTACTGGATGAATCATCAACAACGAATCAATAAACAAGAAAAGACTAAAGAATCAAGATACTATAGAATCGCCGCTGCCAGGAAACTGCGAAGAGCCCTATCAAAGCAACCCTCTGCTCATGGCCAATGGAGGAGAAACCGTGGGATCGCATACACGCCGATTTCGTGACGATGGAGGGGAAGATGTACTCATCATTCGTGATGCCTTCTCAAAATTTGGCCGGAGATCGTCGAAAAGTGTGGCTCTACGACAACGAGGGCCAGCACGTATCAGGATTGCGTCGGACTCTTTGCGCCCAATTCGGAATCACAAACGCTAGTGACGGACAACGGACCTCAATTTACTTCCAACGACTTCAGCGAGTTCTGCAAGAAGAACGGTATAAGACACATCAAGTCACCTCCGTTCCACCCGCAGTCTAACGGCCAGGCAGAACGCTTCGTAGATACTTTTAAAAGGAGTTTCGCGAAGATGAAGGAAACCTCGTCGCCGAGTGAAGCACTACAAAACTTTCTACTGAACTACCGCCGAACCCCTTGCCCTTCGACGCCAGGAGGACAATCACCAGCTGAAGCGTTTCTCGGAAGAATGTAGATCGGACAACTCGCCTCCTGAGGCGTCCGCACTGGGCAAAGAATGTGATGCAAATCAAGAGATGTGAAGACCAATACAATCGCCACCATGGAGCACGGCAGAAGGAGTTTAACGTGGGTGATTCAATCTGGACAATGGATTATCGTTCTGGAACACCACGACAGATGCCCGGTCATATACAGCAAAGACATGGCAACAGGCTCTATGATGTCTCAGTAGATGGACAAATATGGAGACGGCACGCTAACCAATTGCGTCCTCGTTTCATCAAATTTCCATGTACTACAGAGCCAGACATCGAACTTTCCGAACTGCCGTTGCTTCCATGCTCGACGCCACCAACTACCACTACAGCCGCCACCAACCTGCAGACCACACCAACGATCGACACCTCTACATGCACGACAAATGATGCCTCAAGAGAAAAAGCAGCAAGAGTACGCCGTGCACCGCAACGATTGGTTATCGACCCGAGGAAGAAGACGTACACCTAGAGTGTCCATCTTACAAAGGGAGGTCTTTCAGGTCGTGGCGCGCTTTTTGGAAATGGTTTGTTG